GAAAATTTAAAAAGTTCTGCTACTTTATGTAGAATAATTCGAGAAACAAATAAATTTTTCAAACTCTGAAAAATTAAATACAAAGCCATGCTCCTATGTCTAGGCATAACTCTTTCTTCATTTCGCAACATCGGCCCCCTATAGCTCCTATATATTTTTTAGACCGATTTTATGAAAAAGATGCATCAAAATCCCAATCTTTGCCCGATTCGGACGATTTTATTAAACAAGGATGGTTCTTCTTCGCCATACAAAGATTAAAGTTCATCTATTATAGGTCCATTTTTCAAATCACTGTAAACAGTGATATAGTCACTATAGCTCCCATAAAATGGTATTTTCCATAAATTAAATTTCCCATTAATGTGGCTGTAACTTGGCATTCCGGATTTTTTTGAAGACTGACATACTTCTATGCAGTAAATAACCAGAATAGGTCCATGTTTTGACAAAGTATCTCGAAGACTGAAAGGCCTCCATACTTTGAACAAAGTGTCTGCAATTAGACATTCGCAGATTATGGAGGCAGACGTACATCATCAGAATATAATAAATATGGGCCCATGTTTCGAAATAGCACCCTGAGCCAAGGCTTTACTTGTTAATAATTAATAATGTTGTAAAATGTGAGATGAGCTCCTATTTGCTTTACGATGTACAAATCGATAAATTGTAGGTAAACGTAAAAAAACGTCTTAGAGATAGACCACACAATCTCTCAATTCAGCAACAAGCCTAGTAAAACTACAATAATTATTTAAACATTTAACAGAACATGTAAATTTATTGGAACCACTGTGTCAGGCAATTGAAACATCTTCTTTCACCAACTCCTGAATCGAAATATGAATAAAAATCTGCACCTTGGACTGATGATAGGTCTTTTTATTTAAATAACTTTGTTTTTGTTTCTCCTCTCGCGTGAAGGACTCCATCTGCATCGGTTCGTTGTCTTTTATCTCTGGACAAATTACACACATCACACGGATAATACGATCTAATAATAAAAGCTTGACTAACTTGAAGAAAACGACATCGAAACGAGATTCTGAGGCATTCGTTCCGAATGCACCAAAAAGTGCACCCCAAAAAGACAAAGGGACAGCCGTTGTCAGCACCACAATTTCACAATTGTGAAATGTCTATGAACTCTTTAGTGATTGTTAGTTCGTTCGTCAGTCATATCAAACTACCGACAGTTTGGACTGCTCCAACTGTGCTTTTTTCCATCATCATCAATTGCCGGAGAATTCATACAAAAGAATCGGGCAAATCGTAAAAAAGAAAGAAAATAAAAACACGTTTCTTCACCACCACCTAAGGAAACATTGTTTACTTCTAGGGATTCTACTTTGCCGAAGATGAATGAGTAAATCGGAATAAAAAATAAACAACAACACAAAACGCCAAGAATGACGAAAAACCCAAAAGACAACATCAGACAATAGCGGCCAGACAATGGGTCCATTGTGCACAGACGCTGACGCGTTTTTGTGTTGTATAGTGTAAATCGGGGTTCAAAAACTTAATGTCTTATCATTATTATTATAATTGTCGGTAAACAAGTACGAGTACGATTGCGCGTATGTGTGTGTGTGTTTGTGACCTGGAATATAAAACGAACGTACGTTACGTTTTCATTTTTTCTTTCATCGTTTTTTTTCTGATTTCTCACTGAGCCACCGCAGACAGCCGCACTGCACTTATTCGGTGTTTGCCTGGCCATCTAGGGTCAACTATTGTGAGAAATTCTTGACAATGATCTGCCAAAGATAAGAACCGACAAAAGACTAAAGTCACTCCATTCGATTGGTTTGAATGACAAAACTCTTGAGTGGGTTTTTTTTCTTGTGGCATTCACTTTATTGGGGCGATTTTTCATTGTTTTCAACCCGAAAAAAAGTTTAGCATTGCCCGAAATTTTCAAAAAATCATGAAATTCATGGCTACACAACAGGGGGTGGGCATATTTTTGGGTTAATTTTAATAAATTCCATTTAAATTTTTGTAAATATTTATTCGGTACATTGACTTTGGCCATTCTTCAATCTGTGTGACAATCTAAACATCCTCTTGAGTTTGCCAAGGAGTTTTAAAAGGATTATTGGATCTTTTGGTGAAATTAAAGAAGATTTGCTTTCAAAGTTGAAAGATTTTTGGAGTGGTGTGTAGTTTCATCCGAAATAATTTGCATTATATTGTTGATACATTTTATACAAAGCCTGATTGCACAATTTAATATCTCTTCTTGGGCCCACCTTGTATGGAACTGTTTCAAAAAAATTATGTCCGTCTTTTGAAATCACAATAGCAATTTTAATTATACAGTTATGAAAATTTGCACTGTCATTAATTTTACTTCTAAGATGTTTGTCCTTGAAAAAAATATTCTTTAAAAAATCCACGCCTTGTGTTGGTCCTTGAAAAAATATTCTTTAAAAAATCCACGTCTTGTGCTGGTCCTAGAAAAAAATATTCTTTAAAAAAATCCACGCCAATTTCTTTAAAAAATCCACGTCTTGTGGATGTCCTTGAAAAAATATTCTTTAAAAAAATCCACGCCTTGTGTTGGTCCTTGAAAAAATATTCTTTAAAAAATCCACGTCTTGTGCTGGTCCTTGAAAAAAATATTCTTTAAAAAAATTCACGTCCTTGTGTTGGTCCTTGAAAAAATATTCTTTAAAAAATCCACGCCTTGTGTTGGTCCTTGAAAAAATATTCTTTAAAAAATACACGCCTTGTGTTGGTCCTTGAAAAAATATTCTTTAAAAAATCCACGCCTTGTGTTGGTCCTTGAAAAAAAATATTCTTTAAAAAATCCACGCCTTGTGTTGGTCCTTGGAAAAAATATTCTTTAAAACATCGACGCCTTTTGTTGATCCTTGAAAAAAATATTCTTTAAAACATCGACGCCTTTTGTTGATCCTTGAAAAAAATATTCTTTAAAAAATCCACGCCTTGTGTTGGTCCTTTTCAAAAATATTCTTTAAAAAATCCACGACTTGTGTTGGTCCTAGAAAAAAAATTTCTTTACAAAATCCACGCCTTATGTTGGTCCTTGAAAAAAATATTCTTTAAAAAATCCACGCCTTGTGTTTATCTTTGAAAAAAATATTCTTTAAAAAATCCACGCCTTGGATTTTGAAAAAAATATTCTTTAAAAAATCCACGCCTTGTGTTTATCTTTGAAAAAAATATTCTTTAAAAAATCCACGCCTTGTGTTTATCTTTGAAAAAAAATATTCTTTAAAAAATCCACGCCTTGTGTTGATCTTTGAAAAAAATATTCTTTAAAAAATCCACGCCTTGTGTTGATCTTTGAAAAAAATATTCTTTAAAAAAACCACGCCTTGTGTTGGTCCTTGAAAAAAAATAATCTTTAAAAAATACAAGCCTTGTGTTGGTCCTTGAAAAAAATATTCTTTAAAAAATCCACGGATTGTGTTGGTCCTTGAAAAAATATTATTTAAAACATCCACGTCTTGTGCGGGTCCTTGAAAAAAATATTCTTTAAAAAATCCACGCCTTGTGTTGGTCTTTGAAAAAAATATTCTTTAAAAAATCCACGCCTTTTGTTGGTCCTTTTCAAAAATATTCTTTAAAAAATCCACGCCTTGTGTTGGTCCCTGAATAAATATTCTTTAAAAAATCCACGCCTTGTGTTGGTCCTTGAAAAAAATATTCTTTAAAAAATCCACGCCTTGTGTTGGTCCTTGAAAAAAATATTCTTTAAAAAATCCACGCCTTGTGTTGGTCCTTGAAAAAAATATTCTTTAAAAAATCGGTTCAGATTTAGATATATATTTTCGTATATATTTTCGTCCGATTTAATGTAAATGGTGCACCAAAGTCCCTGAAAATCATTCGATTTGCACGAAATTGGTCATAGCGTACTGAATTAAGACTAGAATGATGAGTGCTAAGTTTCGTGAAAATCGGTTCAGATTTAGATATACCTCCCATATATAGTTTCTCCCGATTTAAGGTATGGTGCACCAAAGGCCCTATATATCTTTCGATTTGCACGAAATTTGGCACAGCGTACTGAATTAGGTCAGTAATGATATGTGTTAAGTTTCCTGAAAATCGGTTCGGTTTAGATATAGCTCCCATATATAGTTTCGGCCGATTTTAGGTAAATGGTGCACCAAAGCCCCTGAAAATCATTTGATTTGCACGAATGTTTACATAGTGTATTGAATTAGGTCTAGACTGACGTGTGCTTAGTTTCGTGAAAATCGGTTCAGATTTTTATATAGCTCCCATATATATTTTCGTCCGATTTAATGTAAATGGTGCAACAAAGTCCCTATATATCTTTCGATTTACACGACATTTTGTATAGCCTACTGAATTAAGTCTAGAATGATGTGTGCGAAGTTTCGTGAAAATCGGTTCAGATTTTGATATACCTCCCATATATAGTTTCTCCCGATTTAAGGTAAATGGTGCACCAAAGTTCCTGAAATCATTCGATTTGCAGCCATAGCTTCCATATGTATTTCTGATTGAAATTAATTTTTTAACAGTGCGACGTACCGAATAGCTTGCATCAAGTTTGCTATAAAACGTTTTCCATAAATTTGTCCCATGGTACGCAGACGACTCTGAATCTGCCCGAATGAAATTAAATTTTTCACAGGTTGCAAAAAGACATGCGTATGTTCCTTCGAGGGAACATTGACATGCAAATGTAAGGATACATATGCACAATATATGAGCAAGTGGTGAAGGGTATCATATCGTCGGCCCAGTCCGACTTTACTACTTTCCTTACTGGTTTTCCATTAAAGTCCACCCACGTTGTAGACCACGCATAGAATTTTGTAAATCCAAGAAAGAAATAAAAAATGTTTTGTTTTTTTTTTTTTAATTTGTTTGTACTTTAAATAATTGTTTATTTAACCTCGTGTAAGATACTATTTTTATTCATCGTAATAAATATTTCGTTTATAATAAATATTTCGATAAAAATCAACAAAATTATAAAAATGTTCGAATTAATGATGATAAGCAACGGCGGGTGTACCGTATGATGTGTAATGAGCAACTGGAGCAGTTTTAACATAAGTTGGAGCAGCATATTGGGCGGCGTATTGTGGAGCAGCGTAGTGGGTGGCGTATTGTGGAGCAGCATAGTGGGTAGCAACTGGAGCAACAGTCTTGACAACATGAGCAGGAGCAGCATAATGAGCTACGGGAGCAACATGTTTCACAACAGTAGCTGGAGCAGCATAGTGGGCTACGGGAGCAACTGTCTTGACAACAGTAGCGGGAGCAGCATAATGAGCAACGGGAGCCACGGCAACAGATTTGACCAAAGGTTCACGGTGTACAACGGCATTGAAACCATTGACAGCATCGGCGGTATATTGAACGGTACGTTTGTAACCATCAGCATCAATCAGGGAGTATTCACCACGGACTACATCACCATCACGTTCTTCAACTTGGCTCTTGGAGTCACCGGTCAATTTGTCATCAACACCATAACTGAATTTGTACTGGGGATGAGGATCGTATTCTTCAGACTTAACAACGACCTTTTGGGCAACAGCTACGGGAGCAGCATGGACAGCATGAACTGGGGCGGTATGGTAAGCAGCTGGAGCAGCATGATAAACTGCGGGAGCATAACCAGCGCTGGCAGCAGCAACGAAAGCAAGTGCGAAAATAAACTGAAAGATCAAAAAATTACAACTCATTAAATGTTTGTTATTGCTTTTTTATTTTTTTGACGTTTGTTTGTGACGTTTGTTTTGTTTGACTAGCAAATCACTGGCTGTTATCGTACCAGCTTGTAATGTTTGTGTTATTTCTTTTATTTGTGGGTTTTTTCGCCTTTTTTCACTTATCTTACCTTGAATGCCATGATGTTGAGTTTGATTGTTTGCTGACTAGCTGCGTTTGTTTGTCTCGGTCTAATTTGGTTCTTTGCAGAAATAAGCACAAGAAGCGAATGATACAGTTTTGTGATTTTCGTCAACTTTTATAGCAATTATTTTGCTTGGTTTTTTTTTCGTGTGCTTTGGCAAAGTTTTAAGAGTATCTAAATTCAATTACACTTCATTTGGCATCGTATTGAAATTACAAACGAAACATAAGTAATTTCAATCCAATTTTCATGATTCACTCTCATGCTGACAGCTAGAAAGAGGGAGAGAGAAATAGATCTCCATATATGTTATAATTAATTCTTTGCAAATTTCCGGTTTAGAATCGAACTTCTATTGTGAGCCGTCGATGTAATGCTGGGTATTATGTTCAATATCAGTGATTGAAATCGTAGCCCTTATATGATAGCTTTAATTATTTGTATAATCAGATTTTGTTGTGTCTTTCCATAAATCACACCGTATGTGATTGAACTGTTGGCTGTGGAAAATAAAATGAGATGTGGGTGATAGTTGGAATTGGATGAATTGCATATAATTTGTATGGATTTATTTGTAGTTATATTTCTAGTATTTATATCGGAAGAGATATAAATATTATTATTGTTTGTCCAAAATTTGTATTTTACAATAGAAATTTGAAATGTCGACATTTAACGTGTAAGAAATGAAAAAAAATCAGACGACCCCATTTACATCATACCCTACACAATTTTGGGCAAATACAAGATATCATCCAGAATATTAAATACACTAATTTTAGTGGGAAAAATAGAAAATGCAAAAATGGATGCACTGGATTATTATATGAGAGCTATGGCAAAATATTAATCATTATTGGGAAAGGCGGCTAAGACCATCGGAATACCGAAATTGGGGCGGTGTCGTAATGCGGCAGCTATTCCAAAACGTGGACCAATATATTACATTTTCAATACCAAACATTTCAATACTAACACAAATGAAATCACGAGTCCTACGATCCTATAATAAGTTTAGGGCTTCAACTAGCTCGTCCGAAAACAGGGGAATTTCGGCTTCAAAATGTTAGCATCCGGCTTAGTTGAATGCGGTGGAAATATCGAAAAATCCTACATTAAAACTATATTGCAAATATGGTGTTCTTCAATTCAGTCGTTGAGCACAAGTCTGTAAATGGTGTATTTAAGTCATAAATTAGCAAAAGACAAAAAACTGTTGGCTTCAGCATATTTTTATCCATTTTTAAACCCTCCATCGTTCTATGTTTGTTTTTTCAGAAAAAAAAAAATCGTTTCTGACCCCATGAAGTATATATATTCTTGATCAGTGTAAATTTGTAAGACGATCTAGCCATGTCCATCAGTCTGTTGTTATCACTCTAGCATCTGCAGGAACTGAGCTAGCTGTCCAAAAATTGGGAAATTATGGACAAGTCTTTTAACCAATTTTGCTTTAATTATTTTTTGGAATTTTAATGGGCGGAGAATCTCCATACCAAAAATGGTCAAAATTGGTCCACTTTTTACGTAGGTCTCATGTAACGGTACCTCGTATTTTGAGTATTGTTAAAACATTTTTTAACCGAATCGCCTGTACTTTGATATTTTGGGTTTACCAAAATTTATTTACCAAAAATTATTAACATTGGTCGTCGTTTCAGTGCGACCCCTAATAAAGTGAAATTTGAAAATAAGTGTATGCATAGTAAAACAATATGATGATGTGATTTTTAATCCTGGTCGTTCAAATTCTATAACGTTTAAGAATTAAATCACTCAATTTTTATTTATTCATCACAATTATTTGCAATGGTTTTTAGCATGACTTTTATAGAAAATAGTATGAAAACGGAAAAGCTCTCAATTTCTGAACGAATTTCCGTTATAAATCCTTAAAAGTCGTGGAACTATTCAATAGCTAACCATGGTATAGGATAACGCGAGAAAAAAATATTTTTTGGTTCTCAGACCAAAATATATTTTGGTCCCCCTCCCCCGAAGTGAAATCCTGGCAACGTCCTTGCCGAATGATATGACATTCTGAACAGATTATCAAATGACAGGTGTATGGATAGATTGAAGTCGGTTCACATATAGATGTAGTTTCTTCTGTGCTATAAGTTACAATAATAATCACAGAAGCATCTCTTGTCGGTCCTATCCGAATATTTTTAGTTGCTTTATGTTTGTCTTTTATATCCTCAACCAACATTTTTCGATTTAGCCATCTGTCTATATGCTGAAATCACCATAGAGCTTTGAAATGTTTCACATACATTGTAGTTATTCCTAGGATTTGTATACCCTTCACCACACTGTTGTACAGGGTATTATGTCTTTGTGCATATGTTTGTAACAAGCAAAAGGTATCGAGATAGACCCATGGTTCCTTTTGAGAATATGCATAGAATCACTTTCTGAGTCGATTTATATATGTCCGTCGGTCCATGTATATTTGTGAAAAATACAGGTCGCATTTATGATTTGATTTGGATGAAATTTCTTCCGATTTTACCTAAATGGTGCACCAAACACAAAATATTTGTCCGATCGAGACATCATTCTGCACAGCGTACTAAATTAAGCCAAGTTTAGTATCTGCGAAGCGTTGTTCAAATCGGTTAAGATTTAGATATAGCTCCCATATACAGTTTCGTCTGATTTTATGAATGATGCACCAAACTCCCTATATTTGTCTGATTGGGACAATTACTGAATTATTTCCAGACTAATATCTGCGAAGTTTTGTTAAAATCGGTTCAGATTTAGATATAGCTCTATATAGTTTCGTCCGATTTTACCTAATTGATGCACCAAACACTAGATTGATGTATGAAAAAAAAATTTTTTTAATCGGTTTAGATTTAGATATAACTCTCATATGTATTTTTGTCCGATTTTTTTAATTGGTGCACCAATTAATCCAGTTTGAAGTCTTTGAAGTTTTGTTGCAAAAGGTTCAGATTTGCATATAGGTCCAACATATAATTTCGTCCGGTTTTTGGTAAATAGTGCACCAAACTCAAAATATTTGCACGATTGAGACAACATTTTCCACAACTTACTAAATTCAGTCCAGTTTGACGTCTGTCAATACATCCATACATAATTTTGCTGGATTTCATACAAATGTTACACCAAAAAATCCAAGTCTGCCCGATTGACATGCAATTTTTCTTATAATTCTGAATGGTATGTGTATGGTGTTTTTATTGGTTCAAATATTTATGTAGATCACAATTTTTTCGCCCGATTCCATTTCAATGGTTTTCCAAAGATGCTATGTCTCTAATTACTTACAGGATATTGTACACATTATTATCACTTGTATGTACCCAAAGTGGTGAAGGGTTGTTCACATAGTCACGACATTTAACTGATTGTGACGAAGAAAGACTAGTAGGGCGAGTATTAAGTTTTGTCGAAATCGATTTATTCTACCGATTTTAAGTACCAAATATTAAAATTTTGTCACATTAACAAGACATTTGTAGACCTTATGTCTAGAATAGTGTGTGTTAAATCGTTTGATATATATTGACATTAACATTATCACTCTAAGAGACTAAGGCTATCCGACTGACTTGTAATTTTACGCAGAGTGCCGAATAACGTGGATATGTATTGATTGAAGTCGATTCTTATATTATTTAATCTGATTTCATATCAATAAATCTCCAAAGATACTACGCCTGTCCGATCATATAAAACCATTATCATTAATGGTGAAAGCCCTTACGAATTTTATCCTTTTTCAGTTTAGTATAATTTATTTAACAATTATGCAAAAAATAAAGGGTAATAAAAATGTATTATATATATACAACGTATGGATTTAGAAAACATATGATATTTAATGATGATAACTGTAGGCGGGAGTTTCATAGGTAGCATAGTGTGTAGGTGCAGCATAATGAGCAACAGGTGCTATGGTCTTAACGACATCAGCGGGAGCAGCATAGTGAGCAACTGGAGCTACAGTTTTAACAACCGTTGGGGCGGTGTAATGAGCTACTGGGGCAGAATAGTGGGCTACTGGAGCAACATGTTTAACAACAGTAGCTGGAGCAGCATAGTGGGCCACGGGAGCAACAGTCTTCACAACAGCATGACCCAATGGTTCACGTTGAACAACGGCATTGAAACCATTCACGTCATCGGCGGTATATTGAACAGTACGTTTATAACCATCAGCATCAATCAGAGAGTATTCACCATGTACAACATCTCCGTTACGTTCTTCAGTTTGACTTTTCGAGTCTCCGGTAACTTTGTCATCAACACCATAACTGAATTTGTACTGGGGATGAGGATCGAATTCTTCGGATTTGGTAACAATTTTATGGGCGACAGCTACAGGAGCTGTGTGAACAGCAACGGGAGCTGATGTATGATAGGCAGTGGGAATATAACCTGCACTGGCTACGGCAATGATCGCAAAGGTGAATACAAACTAAAAGAAATGAAACATATAATATTGAAACAATGGTAAATTATTTTACATTTCAATACACCAGGTACCTTGAAAGCCATGTTGCTGCTGCTACTGTTTTTGGCAATTTACCGTTTCTTTCTGAAATGAAATGTCGATGTTAAATGATAACAATTTGCATTTTTGGTCAACTTTTATATTGGATATTTTTGGTGATTGATTTTTTTTGTATTGAATGACATAAATATTGTGGTTTCTTGTTTTTGTTTCTGTATGAAATATTTGCATTTAAGTTTTATGAATATTAAGCAACTTTTCATTCTCTATACAATGAACATACTTTCATTATTGTGACTCTAATTAATATCTAAAGGTCATATTAATTACTCTATTTCAAAATAATTTCATATTGGTGTTAATTATTTTCATGAGAGGATTCAATATGACGAAATTCTCATATGAATGTGTGAAGATTATATAGTAGTTCTGAAATTGTGTCACGACAACAAAAGTTATTCCAATATGAAGTCGATTTATACAAAATTGGGTGTCAATTGGAAAGACGGAAATTATATCACGTAGCTATTTATGTATAACTAACATTGTTGGCTTTCTTCCAATATCAAAAATTATCTTATCGCCGTCCACGATCCCAGAATGCTTAATTGTACCGACTAGAAAATGGGGCTAAAACCTTAAAAATTCCGCAATGGGCGGGACACGTGGGGACACCGATGTTTCTTGTTCTCTACGGAAGCCATATGTCATTAGACTAGAGAAATTTCGGTGGGAAAATGCGCATATAATTTTAAAAATTCCGAAAATGGTACGTCCAAACATAGATCTAAATATTTCTGCAACTATATTTCTTATCTTTAAAAACCCCGGAATTACAATTTACAGTTGGTTCGGATGGATAATGCGCCAAAAAATCTTCAAAATACTGATAAAGGTATAGATATATCGGATCTATTTCAAATTGTGGAACGATAAACCCCATTTACATCCTAGGAGTATTAGCAATATTATATATATAATATTGCGATCACTATCGTGATTTCGAAGGTCTTTATGTGATCTCTGACGAATATTTGAAGGCGTTTCAAAAGGAATGACAATTAATGGATGAAAAGTTATTATTATTTTCTTCATTTTTACAAAAACCCACAAGGAATGCGGAATTTCAAAGTACAGTTACATCGATTGGAAAATTAACCTAAACCATTAAAATTCCTTAAACCGTAGTATTTTTTTAATCCCTTCCTTATCGAAAGAAACATTTAAAATCCTAAGTATCCTGTAGACCAAAATCGTTTAAGGTAAATTTTCAGTCAATTCGAAGTTTAATTGAAATCGGATGAGATTTATATATAGCTCCCATATATATTTTGGTCAAAGTTTATGTAAATGGTGCACCGAATAGCCTATGTTTATTCCATTTACACGAAATCGTAATCGTGATGTGTATTAAAGGTGCAATAATCGGTGTAGATTTAGATATTTTCCCATATATATTTGCGTCTGATTTTATGAAAATGGTGTACCAAGCAGCCTACGTCTGTTCCATATACTGGAGGTAAAATTATGGTCAGCGCACTGTACTGCAGCATACAAAAGGGTATATGTCACGGTTGCTAAATTAGGCCCTGATTTACATATAGATCCACATACATTATTTTGTTCGATTTTATGGAAAATGTACACAAAAGAATCCGATTAACATGTAATCTTTCATAGATTTCAGAATGGTATGTGTATGGGTTTTTTAATTGGTTCAAATATCTATGTGGATCATACATTTAGTTTCGATCCATTTCAATGGTCCTCTAAGTATATTCTATCTACAGGATATTTTATATATTAGCATCTCTTGTATGTATTCATAGTGGTGAAGCGTATAATATAGTTGGCCTCGTCCGACTTTTGAATTTCCTTACTGTATTTTTTTTGTAATTTGGTTAGAGTCGGTGTCTTCGGAACCATATAAATTCTTTATATTTGAGAAAAATAAATTGTTTGACTCAAGTTTTCAAACCACAGGTTTCAATCGGAGCTTGACAAAATTTTCAATACATTACGATTATGTATTCAAAATCATGTTAGATGTTTGCTTTCACTAATAAGAAAACCGTATATCAAGGCGACATATTAATATTTCAAGTATTTTCCAATATATAGCGGTGGTCACCATTACCCTAAGTTCCTCTATAAACCCTATGTATTTAGTGTCCTTAGAATATCTGCACATAACTAATTTTAAGACCCCAAGTAGAGCCGCATATTGCAATTTCATTCCTTCACCAATAACATAATTTCTACAATTCATGTAGAATTTGAAAAATATGTGTACGTATGTATACATGTGTACACATTTGCCAAAATTGATTAATTATATTTCAAAAATGTTGTTGTCTAATTAAAAAATATACTCTGTTCTGCTTTGATTTCATTTTTGTATAAAATGTCGAGCAGTATTTCATAATGGTATCATTCACTGTATAACTCTTTAAAGAACATCAACAGTGTTCACACAGATTAAATTAAAAACAACAATATGGCCTTTAAGGTAAGTGAACGGTTATGACTATTGCTCCAGCAAACTGACCGTTCGTTGTTTGTTAAATATTTAACCCACATTGACAACATTACACGATAATCTGTTAATATTCAATTGTTTTTGGGTTTTCCAGTTTGTTTTCGCCCTTGCTTTTGTCGCTGTTGCCAGTGCTGGTTATGCTCCCGTCGCATATCACACTGCTCCCGTAGCTATAGCTCAGAAGGTTGCTGTGAAATCTGAAGAATTCGATCCTCATCCCCAGTACAAATTCAGCTATGGCGTTGATGACAAAGTTACCGGTGACTCGAAGAGCCAACATGAAGAACGTGATGGTGATGTTGTTCGTGGTGAATACTCCTTGATCGATGCTGATGGTTACAAACGTACTGTCCACTATACAGCCGATGATGTTAATGGTTTCAATGCTGTTGTTGAACGTGATCCTTTGGGACATGCTGTGGTGAAGACTGTTGCTCCCGTTGCCCATTATGCTGCCCCAGCTACTGTTGTTAAACATGTTGCTCCAGTTGCTCATTATGCTGCTCCAGCTACTATTGTTAAGCATGTTGCTCCTGTGGCTCATTATGCAGCTCCAGTTGCCCACTATGCTGCCCCCGCCGTAGTAAAGACCGTTGCTCCTGTTGCCCACTACGCTGCTCCTGCTGTAGTTAAGACTGTTGCGCCAGTTGCCCACTATGCTGCCCCCACCCATTATACATCTTATGAAGCTCCCACCTATGGATATCACCATTAGAAGCCATTGTTGTTAAATATTGTTACTGAAAAAATTATTATTTATTTTTGAAAGAGTGTAAAATAAAATCACTAAAATTTAAATACACGTAGTTGTAGTATATCCGCATTTAGAGATGCAGATTTTGATTTAAAAGGGCAAAAAAGCCTTTTGTATAAAAAGAAAATATCGTCATAAGTCAATTTTGTCACTTTTGTGGAGTGGCTGTAATTTTGTATTTTGGCATCTCATTGTATAACAAATCTCTCTGCAAAAAAGTATCAATACTAAAGCAATTGTCCTTATAAAACTTCAGCTATTAAGTTTTTTGGGCGAGTTTTGGGTAATATTGTTGTTTGCGTACCAAATCTTCCTATCATAAATATTAATATTGGACCATATAACGAGATTGGTCCAGGTTCGAAAATTAGTCATAGTCATAGCCCCCATACAATTATGCCTCTAAATTATTGTTCCAATTTCTGTATTTTGAGGAGTGGGAAAGGTATGGAATTGTTTGTAAATGCCTTGTTAACCTCAAAGTGAGGCACCAGCGAAATTATCATGCAGTTTATGTAGTTGGTCAGCTAAGTACTTCGCTTTGTTACAAGAGACATTTGGGTATGAAAAGGTTTTTTTTGTATAGAAGCTATGTCGATCTACACTGTAAGCCCCACAGCCAGAGACCAATCGTCACGCAAGTTCTGGTCATAGAAGATCCCTATAATTTTTGGTTACGATCAGTTAATATTTAGGCGATTAAATGAACCATAAATGTATATTTGTCTTTTTTTCTAGTAGCTCTAGAAGCAACAATAATGACCCGAACTCCAACAAACTTTACGCGGGGAAGGGGATTTGGCAAGCATGACGAAGATCGGTCAATTTTTAAGTGGGTCAAATGAAACCAGGCTTTTGTGTGAAAAATTACAACATTTGCATTATGCGAAGGATATAGAATGAAGAAGTAACGGTTATGGTCTAAGGGATGGAGCTAAAAATGTTTTTCTTATATTGTAGTCGCTTTAGGGCGAGGAGGCTGGACCAACTGGCTGTAATGATCGGTCAATATTTAGCACGTCAAATGTACAACCAACCATGTTAAACAATCTCCGATCCGCAAAAAGTTTAAGTTCTCATGTAAATGGCTGGCTGGATTTTTTCTACAATATTTTGTTTTAATTGGGTAGCATATCTTCCTTACTACAAATTGGCCATATCATCCATAATCAGGTCTAGTGCTAATACAATAGCATCTTCATCTCACGTTTCGGCCATGTCGTATTTACCGATATTTATATTTGTTCCTATTGAATGTGCTTGTACGTGAAATATAGTTGTTCGGTCAGAAGTAGTCCCTTAAATAAGAAAGATTTATTTGGATATAAACTATTTAAACGTAAACTTCAAGCACGTCCTTCTAGACTTCTTAGCTAGAGCAACATTTCTGGTCGACCGGAAATCTGATAAAATTATATATAGTCTAAAATTATATAAAGTCCAATAAGGAAAAACCAATCGCAAAAATGTTGGTTTGGGAGGTATATTGAAATCTGTGTTAATTCAAATTTAACGTTTCCAAAATTTCAAAGGGGTTTGCCCTTTGGCCAAATAATGAAGCTGTGCCAAGTTTCATATCGTTCGAATAATAAAGGCAACCCGAACTATATTTAGAACAAGAAAAAAAGTGCTAGACGGTTCAGCCTATAAATATACACCCTCTACCTATGGTTTGCGGAGGTCTTCGGAATTACACACAGGTTTTTTATTCGCTTTATATACGATATTATATTATAAGAGGTTTCGGATTCAATGTTGATAAAATCGGTGTTGATCAAATAAAATTTACAAGTTTATGAAATATTGACGCTTTATTGGTAAGATGCCAGAAGAGAGCCAATAGGTCACATCTTCGGACTTGATCTAGGCTTGATAAAGATAATAGCTTGTACAAACTTTCGTTCAAATCGGATAGTCCGTTCGCTTAATATTATAAAAAGGTTTCTTGCAACATTTTGTGGTGTGAGTACGAAAAGCAGTTTGGGAGAAATATTACAATGTCAAATGTTTGTTTAAAATCGGTTACTGCCTTCGAGAGTTATCGTTTGTACCAGCCGGACAGACATTAGTAAATATACTACAAATTGTCTGAAACGAATTTGATCCAAATAAACATGGGTCTAAAACCAATGTTTCGATAAAGTTCATGTTTGTCGTATCAAAGTGTATATACCTTCATCAGCCATAGAGGTTATAAAAATACATGGATACATGCCTGTCGATGTATTTTTGTAAACGTAGTAGAGTTCACCTTTATTATTCGAATGAGTCAGATATGCATAAATCGACTCAAATTGTAAGTCTATGTTTATCCTCAATAGAAACAATTGGATTTAATTAATTTATTACTATTGGATTTAATTATTTACTACATCTGTAGTAACGTTTGTATGTGTTTGCCAACATATATTCATTCATGCGATATTGTGTATAGGCATTCATATTTGCAGAAATTTATTAATTTCATTTTAAAAATTTTATTGTCTAATTAAAAAAAAAACGAAAATTGATTCAGTTCCGCTTTGATATAATTTTTGGTATAAAATGTCGTTCAACATTTCATAATGGTATCATTCACTGTTTAGCTCTTTAAGAACATCAACAGTATTCACACAGATTAAATAAAAAACAACAACAACATGGTCTTTAAGGTAAGTGAACGGTTACGACTATTGCTCCAGCAAACTGACCGCTAGTTGTTTGTCATGTCATATCATTTATGACACATTGACAACATTACAAGCTAATCTGTTAATATAAAATTTTATTATTGTTTTCAGTTTGTTTTCGCCCTTGCTTTTGTCGCTGTTGCCAGCGCTGGTTATGCTCCAGTCGCATATCACACAGCTCCCGTGGCTGTTGCCCAGAAGGTTGTTGTGAAATCTGAAGAATTCGATCCTCATCCCCAGTACAAATTCAGCTATGGTGTTGATGACAAAGTTACCGGTGACTCGAAGAGCCAAAATGAAGAACGTGATGGTGATGTTGTCCGTGGTGAATACTCCTTGATCGATGCTGATGGTTACAAACGTACTGTCCACTATACAGCCGATGATGTTAATGGTTTCAATGCTGTTGTTCAACGTGAACCATTGGGTCATGCTGTAGTGAAGACTGTTGCTCCCGTTGCCCATTATGCTGCCCCAGCTACTTTTGTTAAACATGTTGCTCCTGTGGCTCATTATACTGCCCCAGCTGCTGTTGTTAAGCATGTTGCTCCTGTGGCTCATTATGCTGCTCCAGTTGCTCACTATGCCGCCCCCGCTGTAGTTAAGACCGTTGCTCCAGTTGCTCATTATGCTGCCCCAGCCCATTATGCATCCTATGAAACTCCCAGTTATGGATATCATCATTAAGCGCCATTGTTGTTAAATTCTGTGATTGAATAATTTTTATTTATGTTGGTATGTGAATGAAGCCAGAGTAAAATAAATACACTAACTTAAATATAGATATTTGTTTCAAAAAATTGGGAATGCATGTCCTACGCTAGTACAGAAAGGCAGAGTTTCAATTTAATTTAAAAAAAAACTATGGGAAATATAGCCAATTTATAGTGAAAGTGTCAAATTGAGACTAAAATGAAGTTATTGCGTATATTTTGAACAGTGCGGCATACCGAATAACGTGTATCATGTCGGCTTTAAATTGTACGCAAACGACTCTAAATCTGCCCGAATGAAATGAAATTTAGAATAGGTTGCAGAAAGGCATGTGCATGTTTAAATTTAGATGTATCACCCATAAATATTTTCGTCCGATTTTATGCAAATAGTGCACCAAACGCCGTATGCTGAATCGATTTATACGAAATTTTACATAGCTTATTGAATTGAGTTTAGAATGACGTGTTCTAAGTTTTGTTGAGTTCTGCTCGCATTTATTTCTGTAATATTGCCAAAGACACCATACATGCACCTACAATTCAAGTATTTCGAGAAATCTTAATCCAAATATTTTCAAAAGTCTTTGAAATGGAGAATACGGCTTTTTAGGGTATTTGTGCAGCCCCAAAAGTTTGTAACGCCGCGATATATTGGTCCTAGACCCACCTTTAAGTATACCGCTCGTCTTATCTCGACTAGCTGAGTCGATCTAGACATGTATATTCGTCCGTCCGTCCGTCTGTCCATTATAATTTGTAAACACGATACAGACCACAGTTATGGACCAATCTTCACGAAATTTTGCATGTAGGATGGGTTCAGGCCAATAAAGATCCCTATTGTTTTGTCGGTTTTTCTGGTCGCTCCAGAGGCCGCAATAATGACCCGAACATCGTTAAATTTTACATGGAGAAGGGGATCGGGCCAAAGAATAAGCATGCCTGTTTTGATAAAGATCGGTCAATGTTTAGCGGGTCAAATGAACCCTGACTTTTGTGTGAAAAATTACAAATTTTGGATTCTATAGCCTATATATTTACCCCTAAAGGATATAGACCCGAGAAGTTGATATTATATCCATTGGTGTGGTTGACCTTTTAATTAATGCCAATTATATTGTTGTATGTGCCCGGATGTGGGAGTTACAGCTAAATATTTACAGATGTCTCCGTATTCGTATATTATTAAGTAACCCATTATCACTCTAGAGAGCGGAACTATAGCGCTGATCGCTTTGAAATGTTCCATGGGGTTCCAGTTATGGTCAAGGACAACGGCTATAATTTTCAGATAATAATTTTGGAATGAAGTGGACCGACCGAAAACTGTTTACCTCTAATCGGGCAAGAGGGTGCAAATATTACGAAATATTGCCCAGACTCGGAATAAACATCCGCAGAAAATTTGAGTTCCGTGGTAGTTGTGTAGGGTATCGTATGGTCGGCCCCGTCCGACTGTACTGTTCCGCTCACTGGTTTTATTTTATTACACAGATTAAAAATAGATCAGATGAAATAAGATTCATTTAGCACTTTTCGAACACATAAGTACACATTTTCAAGACTACCTCCATACCATCACCACCACTAAATTTAGTACCAGTTACTTCCAAAACCCCTTTGGTACGTCTTTCTAACTCTCCGACAGTGACTCACATTCTAAATTTTGCGTTTCCAGCTCTCTCCGTTACCCAAATCCAAATTTGGTGCATTTTCTATTCCATTTACTATTCGTCCACATAAGTTTGATTTTCCATAATTGTCTCCATAACTCAATACTACACTTTAACAATAATCTAAATTCCAAATCTCTGGATTCAACCAAATCCAAATTGTTCGAAATTCAGTACCATTTAGTACTTTTCATACTCATAAGTAAGAATTTCTAAAACTACATCATTCCTACACTCTAACAGTAATCTTAATTCGACCAAAGTTCAAATTGTACCTTATTTAGTACTTTTCGTACTCATAAGTACAAATTTCCAAATGTGCCTCAATCCTGCTTTCAAATAGTAATTGTAAGTTCAAATTTAAGAATTTTAGCTCTGCCTGTTCTCCAAATTGTACCAGATTTGGTACCAATCTGTACTTTTCCCACACTCCCACTAAGTGACAACTTTCAGGATTTGACTTCTAACCGTTCACTCAAGTCCAAATTGTACCAAATTTTGTGTTTTTCGTACCCATGAGTACGATTTTCCAAAAATACCTCAGTCATGCACTCCAGTATTAGCCTTAAGAGTACTTTTAAGGATTCCAGCTCTATCCGTTCACCTACATCCAAATTGTATCAAATTTAGTACCATTTATTACTTTTCGTAGACGTTAGTAAGAGTTTTTAAAACTTCTCAATTTCACAATCCAAAACTATTTTTAATGCCATATTTCAAGATCCCAGCCCTATCTATTCACATAGATCCAAATTGTACCATGTTTAGTACTTTTCGTACTTATGATTTCGAATTTCCACTAATTTTATTTTCAAATATAAGATTTCCATTTCTATCCTTTTACTCAAAACTACTATCTGTTCACCTAAATCCAACTTGCACCAAATTTAGAACCATTTAGTACTTTTCGCACACATAAGTACGATTTTTTAATGCCACCTGTATAATGTACTCCAATAGTAGTCCCAATACCTATTTTCAGCTTACCATCCCTATATATTCAACTAAATGCAAATAGTACCAAATTTAGTACCATTTTGTACTTTTTATACAGATAAGTACGAATTTCTTAAACCTGTATTCTATATAAAATTTTACGATTCTAGCTATATATGTCGTTTCGTCAGTCACTCACTTAACACTAAGCTCTTTTATATATTAAGATTATAAAAAAGTAAATAAATAAATAAAAATAAAATAAATAAATTTGTTGCATAGTGTTATCAATATAGATCCCCGTTTTTGTATTGTCCCATATAACGGTAGCCCCCCTATTAGGCGTTTTCATAAATTTTATATATTTTGAATGTCATCGTCTTGAATTTTATTTGAATAATAATGGCTTGTTACATGCAGATGTTCGTAGTGTAAGTAATAAAAATTAAAAAAAGTTTGCAGTCTCCACATTCACATAATGCGTTAGGAATTATTCATGCCTTGTATCCGAAATAAGGATCATATGAACAAATACATATAGAAATCTTTTGGGGTACAACTATACAACATTTTTGCAATTTTCATTATTACACAAAACCATGAATTCATACCATTCATATATTTTTATTATACATGTACATACATGTTTGAATGTGTTTGACAACAAACATTCATTCATGCGATATTCTGTATAGACATTCATATTTGCAGAAATTTATTAATTACATTTCAAAAATGTTATTGTCTAATTAAAAAACGAAAAATTGATTCAGTTCCGCTTTGATATAATTTTTGGTATAAAAAGTCGTTCAACATTTCATAATGGTATCATTCGCTGTTTAGCTCTTTAAAGAACATCAACAGTATTCACACAGATTAAATAATAATCAACAACAACATGGTCTTTAAGGTAAGTGTATGTGAACTGTTAAGGCAGTCACTCTAGAGTGCTGACCGCTCGTTGTTTGTCATGTCATTTAAGGCACATTGACAACATTACAAGCTAATCTGTTAATATTAAATTTTATTTTCGTTTTCAGTTTGTTTTCGCCCTTGCTTTTGTCGCTGTTGCCAGTGCTGGTTATGCTCCTGTCGCATATCACACTGCTCCCGTTGCTGTTGCCCAAAAAGTTGTTGTGAAATCGGAAGAATTCGATCCTCATCCCCAGTACAAATTCAGCTATGGTGTTGATGACAAAGTTACCGGTGACTCGAAGAGCCAAAATGAAGAACGTGATGGTGATGTTGTCCGTGGTGAATACTCCTTGATCGATGCTGATGGTTACAAACGTACTGTCCATTATACAGCCGATGATGTTAATGGTTTCAATGCTGTTGTTGAACGTGAACCTTTGGGACATGCTGTCGTGAAGACTGTTGCTCCCGTTGCTCACTATGCTGCTCCAGCTGCTGTAGTTAAACATGTTGCCCCAGTTGCTCATTATGCTGCTCCAGTTGCTCACTACTCTGCCCCCGCTGTAGTTAAGACTGTAGCTCCAGTTACCCACTACTCTGCTCCTGCTGTAGTTAAGACTGTAGCTCCAGTTGCCCACTATGCTGCCCCCACCCATTATGCATCATATGAAGCTCCCACCTATGGATATCATCATTAAGCGCCATTGTTGTTAAATTCTGTGATTGAATAGTTTATTATTTATGTTTGTATATGAATGAAGCAAGTGTAAAATAAAGACACTAAAATTAAAATATAGATATGTTTTTAAAAATTCGGCAGGGAATGCCTTCGGTGAGTACAGTAAGGCAAAGGTCAAATTTTATTAAAAAAAACTATGGGAAATTTAGACGATTTATAGTAAAAGTGTCAAATTTATAACTCTTAATTTAGTCATTCCGGTCTTTGTGTTGAAATCACGACAGAGCTCGTATTATTTAAGATAGAGATTTGAAATATTGCACATACTACGCATTTGCTATCCGAGAGGGCTGTAATTTTGCAATTATCAAAAACATTTTAGCAGAAATGTTTTCGATATAGTTATTTTGACATTATTAGCCACATTTTCACATCGAATTAGCTGTAATTTGGCATTCCATATTTGTAGTGTATAAAAAAATGTCTTCTCAGGAAAAGCCCATATATGGTTATGTTTTAACACAACGATCCTGCATAATTTTCGGTACGTCGAAATTTCTAGCCCATATTCCCAGCCTGTCTCTCAGATTATAAAAAAACTTTCAAGCTAGCGACATGTAATTACATTGCCCCCACATATAGGCCCCGAGTTTTTTCTTAAAATTTTGAATGTACTCCAAATGTTGGAGAATATAAAAAGATCGGCCAAGTTTACTTGTGCCGGACATCACTCCTTGTTACACTATACAATAAAATCGTACTTATAGTCTGGAGCTGGATAATTCCTTATGGGAAATAAAAACTCTAGGCAAGTATTTGAGAAATCAGAAGAACAAATTCGATTTAGATCATTTTATTGAGTTTTGCCGTAATGATTACTTTACTGATAACTTTTTAAAAAACTTCATATTGTAGGTCATTATTGAAATTGATGAAAATTATTGAATTGAATTATTTGATTACTTGATATTATTCAATTTTAGAATGTACTAAATTAGTTCTTAAATATAATCAAACAAGTGAAAAAAGCGTTAAGTTCGGCCTCTACCATAGATATACTAACATATACTTGCAACGAAAATATAGAGAACATACCCAAGCGCGGACCTATACCGATAACTCTACAAACTGATTTATGTAAACCATTATGTACACAAAATATAAATTTCAGCAATGTTAATGGGGATTACAAAGTGTAGAAATTAGCGAATATTTGAGGTTATCATTATATGTGGACTATGCTAACTACAAAATGCCAGATTACTGCTCAAGAACCCAAAAATACAGAAAATGGGTGGGTACCCTAATATGGGGGCTACCCGAAAAAAATGGGTAGCCCCCATATAATCAAAAGATTTTCAGGAAATTTGGTGGACCATTTACCTAAAATCGGGCGAAACTATATATGGGAGCTATATCTCAATCTGAACCGATTTTCACGAAACTTAGCACACGTCATTCTACACTTAATTCAGTACCCTATGCCAAAAGTCGTGTAAATTAATTGATTTTAGGGACGATGGTGCTAAATTTACCTAAAATCGGACGAAAATATATATGACTTGTTACAAATGTCATTCAAACATGAAATCGGACGAAACTATATATGGGAGCCATATCTAAATCTAGACCGATTTTCACGAAACTTGGCAGACATCATTCTAGGCTCAATTCATTACGTTATACCAACTTTCGTGCAAATCGACAGATATATAGGGTCTTTGGTGCACCATATACCTTAAATCGGATGAAAATATATATGGGAGCTATATCTAAATCTGAACCGATATTCCAATTTCAATAGGGTTCGTCCTTGGGCCAAACAAATGAGCTGTGCCAAATTTCATCCAAATCGGATTATAAATGCGACCTATACTTTGTTTACAATTTAACACCAACAGACGGACGAACATGCATAAATCGACTCAGAAAGTAATTCTATGCATATTCTCAAAAGGAACTATGGGTCTATCTCGTTTCCTTTTGCCTGTTACAAACATATGCACAAAGACATAATACCCTGTACCACAGTGTGGTGAAGGGTATAAGTATAAAAACATGGAGGGCACTAAAAATCTCTGGTCTAATCCAAATCTATTACGAAATTAATATTATTTAAATATAATAGTTTTATTTCACACTTTTTTATCAAAACATAAACAAGAAAGAACTATTAAATAACAGTATTTAACAACAAATGACGCTTAATGATGATATCCATAGGTGGGAGCTTCATAAGATGCATAATGGGTGGGGGCGGCATAGTGGGCAACTGGAGCAACAGTCTTAACGACAGTTGGAGCAGCATAGTGGGCAACTGGAGCTACAGTCTTAACTACAGCGGGGGCAGCATAGTGAGCAACTGGAGCAGCATAATGAGCAACAGGGGCAACATGTTTAACTACAGTAGCTGGAGCAGCATAGTGAGCAACGGGAGCAACAGTCTTTACAACAGCATGACCCAAAGGTTCACGTTCAACAACAGCATTGAAACCATTCACATCATCGGCTGTATAGTGGACAGTACGTTTGTATCCATCAGCATCGATCAAGGAGTATTCACCACGGACAACATCACCATCACGTTCTTCATTTTGGCTCTTCGAGTCACCGGTAACTTTGTCATCAACACCATAGCTGAATTTGTACTGGGGATGAGGATCGAATTCTTCAGATTTCACAACAACCTTCTGGGCTACAGCCACGGGAGCTGTGTGATATGTGACGGGAGCGTAACCAGCACTGGCGACAGCGAACAAGGCAAGGGCGAAAACAAACTGAAAACAAAAATAAAGTTTTATATTAACAGATTAGCTTGTAATGTTGTCAATGTGGGTTAAATGACATGACATGACAAACAACGGTCAACACGCTATCCGTTCACTTACGCTTACCTTAAAGGCCATGTTGTTGTTTTTTTTAATCTGTGTGAATACAGTTTATGTTCTTTAAAGAGCTAAGTAGTGAATGATACAATTTTGAAATGTTGAACGACTTTTTATACCAAAAATTATATCAAATGAAACAATATGATTTCTTAATTAGACAACAACATTTCTGAAATATAATTAATGAATTTTTGCAAAAATGTGTGTATGTCCATAAAGAATAAAATGGGGGTACATTTTTTCATATGTATAACATACCAATTCATCAAAGGCAAAAATTCTTTGTGTTTTGTGGTGGTGTTGAAATTAACATTTGGTGTGGTGGCAGAAGTTCAGAGGATATTGTCTTCATTTTAAAATTTGTTTATACGTAACACAACTATATTGTAAATTGGAGTGGCACCAAGAGTTTGTAGCGTGGTTTTAGACCCACCGTTTAGTATACCGATCGCCATATCTCGACTAGCTGAGTCAATGTTGACATGTGTGCTCGTCCGTCTGTCTGTCAATTAAAATTTGTAAAAGCGATACAGGCCAGTTAGGGACCAATCATCCTGACCCACGTAGGAGGGGTCCTGGCCAAATAAGACCACTATTGTTTTTGGTATTGATCTCATAATATTTAGGGGATGAAATGGGAATTATTTATGAAGCGACTTCAAACAATCCACACAAATGACATTCGGCAATATGTGCAAAATTCCATGGTAATTAGGCAGATTTATGAAAAAATCCGAATAGATTTGAACAAAACCTAACACGTGGAGTATTTTGTGGACCATTTATATAAAATCAGTAAAAATATAAATAAATGATATAAGTATGAATGGATTTAATTTAAACTTATTACACTCCATCTCGAAATAATTGTCGGAAGCCCAATAAATTTAGCCATGTTCTGTCTGCCTAGGAATCACAGTATATTTAAGAGGTTTTGGCAATATTTCCATCTGTAAGAGTTGTAGTTCAGAATACCGGGTGCTTGGACGCTTACATACATCTGCGATAAAATTATCGTAATAGATCCAAATTTTGAAATAGCCCCAATGTAAAGGTCCCGCCCCATTTTTAATATTTTTAAGTAATTAGTCGCATTTTCCCACAAAATTGGCTGTCATTTGAGGTTCCGAGTTTTTTGAAGCTAACAGTTTTTTGTGTAGAAAATAGAAGTTTCCAGCCATATATTCATTGGATCAGTTTTGGTACGTTGAAGATTCTAGCATAGTTTTTCAATATGTTGGGAGTTTTGTGCACCATTAAGATAAAATCGGACGAAACTATATATGGGTGCTATATGTGAATCTGAACCGATTTCAACAAAACTTAGTTTACAACAATATGAACCTATTTCAGTACGCTGTGCTAACTTTTGTTTGAATTGGACAAATAGTGGGAGTTTGGTGTTTCGGGCGATTTTATTTAAGGGAACCACCCCCATTCTCGATTTTAATTTGTCAAGATTTTCAATGGGCTGGAACATCGGAATCCGAAAATTCCAACGGTGTTAGAAAGAGTACATGTCTGGCTCTCGTATGAACTAGGATTATTGACTTCGCTCTAAAATTAACAAAATGGTGGACCTTTGAAAAAATAATTTCGGAAAATCGCCAATTTTTTACCAAAAACCAAGTTAAAAAATAAGGAAGATATTCACCGATTGACTTTATCCTAGTTCATACGATAGCTATACACTCACAGAGAAACGTGTAAAAATTTGAAATCGATTGGGGTATTAGTTTTTGAGTTATCGTGCCCGCCATTCGCAAAACAAAAATGTTTAGAGAAAAACGCGTTTAAAGTTTGAGAAGCCCTTCAGCCGTCACTTGATGCTGACACAATAAATCGGCTATATCTTCAAGAGTTCTTGAGATTTTCATTTGAAATTTTGTAGGCACATTCTATAATCAGTGTGGATTCGAATTATATCAACAACATTTTTGACCCCGAGAATGGGGGGGTCCCCTTAAATGATATATATATATATATATATATATATATGGGAGCTATATCTAAATCTGAACCGATTTCAACAAAAGTTTGCACACATCAAACTGGAGTTAAGTCAGTACGCTGTGCATCAGACAGTTCTTGGGATTTTGGTGCACTATTTACATAAAATCGGACGAAACTATATATGGGAGCTATATATAAATATGAACCGATTTCCATAAAACTTCGTATACAGGAATATGGAACTATCAGACAATCCTTGAGAGTTTGGTGCACTATTTACATAAAAGATGACGAAACTATAACTCTGAACCGATTACGATTTACGGACATCAAACTGAACTTAAGTCAGTACGCTGTTCAAAATTTGGTTTGAATGGGACAACTATTGAGAGTTTGGTGCATAATTTACCAAAAATCCGACGAAACTATAAATTGGAGAGATATCTACATCTGAAACGATTTCTACAAAACTTCGTAAAATTTTTATCAATCGGACAATCCTTGGGAGTTTGGTGCACCATTTAGGTAAAATCGGACGAAAATATATATGGAAGCTATATCTAAATTTAAACCTATTTCCTTCAATTTCAATAGAGTTCGTCCATGGGCCAAATAAGTGAGCTGTGCAAAATTTCATCTCAAGCGAATCATAAATGCGATCTGTACTTTATTCACATGAATACATACGGGCATGCATAAATCAACTAAGAAAGTGATTCTATGCATATTCTCAAAAGGAACCTTTTGCCTATTACAAACATATGCACAAAGACATAATACCCTGTAACACAGTGTGGTGAAGGGTATTCATATGCAGTCCATTTGTTATCCCTATTCCCAAAGACTATTAATAAGGTCATCCAGAAAAATCAGCTGGTTATCATGTTTACTTTCCAAATCGATTATTGTGTATTTGTTCACAATATGAAATTAAAAAAAAGAAAAAAAATGTTTATACTTAACATGAGAATCAACAACTTTCTTTTCGCTTTCTGGGTAACGTTATTAATAGGCCTGGCTCATTCCAAATATGAGAGATCAACGCTTAATTGCATCTTTCCAATTTTTTAAAAAATTTCGTATCCTTATGAAAAAAATTCTGAATTACCACACACATACGAACCAAAAATTAAATTCTTACACTAAAACATAACTGATTAATCTTAAATAATAACGGCAGTTCTGCCACTGACCAACCCTATATGACCTACAAAATATTTTTATAATAAACAATAAAAACAAAGAAATCTTAATACAAGTAGCACATTTGCGACAATATTTGCGACAGTTATTACTTTCAATATGAATGAACTTGCATAATGCGTGGACAATGACACAAAATCATTCAAATCAATAAACATTGTTTTGCCAATAATGCTATGACACATAATAAAATAATAAGAAAACAAATCTCCCTGTCACTAAATAAGCCAACAAATGAACGAACGGTGAATGCTGTGGCTGGTAAGGTAATTTATGTTTAAATAAGAAATACAAAAAAATCAATAAACAAAATAATATCTGTAAATTGAAAATTCCCTCAAATCGATTTTTGCTATAAAAGTTGATTGATTTTGAAAATTAGCTATCATTCATTACTGGTCTTTACCTCTACAAGGAATCGATTTTGTGGAACTTGGCAAACTACCTTTTATTGTAACAACATGGCTTTCAAGGTAAGTGATGATGATGATGAAGAAATATTTTTGGTTTACCACTAAAGCATTGCTGTATTCCTGCAGTTTGTTTTCGCTCTTGCCTTCGTTGCTGTGGCCAGTGCTGGCTATGCTCCAGTTGCCTATCATGCCGCTGCACCTGTTGCTGTCGCCCAAAAAGTCGTCGTCAAGTCCGAGGAATACGATCCTCATCCCCAGTACAAATTCAGCTATGGTGTTGACGATAAAGTGACCGGTGACTCAAAGAGCCAAACTGAAGAACGTGATGGTGATTTTGTTCGTGGTGAATATTCTCTGATTGATTCGGATGGTTACAAACGTACCGTTCAATATACCGCTGATGCTGTAAATGGTTTCAATGCTGTCGTTCAACGTGAACCTTTGGGACATGCTGTGGTGAAGACTGTTGCCCCAGTTGCTCACTATGCTCCAGCTACTGTTGTTAAGACCCACTATGCTGCCCCCACTGTGGTAAAGACTGTGGCTCCAGTTGCCCATTATGCCGCCCCCGCTGCTGTCGTTAAGACCCATTATGCTGCTCCCACTGTGGCTACCTATGCTGCCCCTAGTCACTACCAATCATACGGTGCACCTGTTTACAATTACCATCATTAAGTCATTGTTTGTTAAACCCAAATCGATTCGCAGTTGTAGAGTTTTGTTCAATGTTGTTATATTTATTTATTTTGAATTTGTTTCTTCATCATGTTGTTAAATAAATAAACATAGTTTTTCCGAATCAATGAGTTAATTATAAATGTGTAAACACAGGGCGTCAAACATATCTTTGATAACATCAATTGGGGGTCATTATTACAAACAATTTCTAAAATTATTACTGATATTCGGATGTATTAAACGTAATTAGGCCCTGCAAAAGTACTCGGTGTTATAGCGTATACATTTTGCATTTGCAAAATGGGATGGACTGCATAATAACTATGTTATAAAGTCTAACATCAAATTTAAAGTTAGGGGCCTTGAAATTTTGCACATACATACGTTCCTACTACTCCCAGGATGTTTGTGGATTGCAAACGGTATCATCACATTTCCTCTTTATGTATGTATTCCGGGTTTTTGGATAAGTGACAATTATGTATATACCGGATTGACTCGAAGGAAATGTCTGATCAGGGGCTGCCCCTCAACAATTACATCTTCTTGTCGTGGTTTTATACCCTTCCCGACACTGTGTCTTTGTGCATATGTTTGTAACAGGAAAAAGAAATCGAGGTATACCCACGGTATAGTATCATGCATAGAATCACTTTTTGACTCGATTTATACATGTCCGTCCGTCCGTCTGTTTACTTCGGATTTTAAGTAAATGGTTTACTAAAGATCCATAGCTAGGCCGATTGACACAACGTACTGAAGTTAATATAA